TAATAAAAATGGTCAGAACACCTGAAGCAGAGGGTTAGCAAGACAGGCACATCACATGTTTGTGCGGTAATAGAATGATAATCTTTTTCCTAACAGGGTTTATCTTTGAATACACTTTTGTAAACCACTGCTGAGTGCTAAACTGGTGTGTTTCATGGAAGTGTTTTCTCCAGGATCACATTCTGAAGTAGTAGTCACCCTGTATGTCGAATTAAAATCGTATTTTTTAATGTTCGCATTAGTTAAATTTATCTACATTAATTTGAATCTGCCATTTTTGTTGTACTGATTCCATCAACTTCTGATGTTCTTCATCATTGTCCTCTTACTTTTCTAACATAATTGCGTTTTGTCATCAGTAAGCTCTGTTGCTTTGCTTTCACTCTTTTTACAGCACAGTTATGAATGTGTTGAACTACACAGGCTCTAGGACAGAGCACTGAGAGTCATCTATTAACTTCCCTCTGCTATGAAAACTGTTGTGTTGGTTTTTTAAAATTTATTTATCCTGTCTATTTTTCTTTTTTACTATTTTTTAAAACTTTTTAATTCCTGTAGAAAGTGTGCACCCTCTTCTGCTTGCATTAAGAGCCTTTGAGGGTCTTTGAGTATATTTACTTAAATTTTCAGAAGGCTTATTAACATGATCTCCCTTATCCATACATGTTCTTTTGAGAAGTCCAGAAATTTTTTACAATTTCTCTTTACAAAATCTGTGCAGGCTTTTCCATTTTGAATGATTTGTGGTTCTGATTCTCTAGACCAGTCGAGTATGATTTAGCCTGGCTTTTTCTTGAGAAAGTGCATCGTGATCTTACTGTCCAGATACAGATCTGCTTAAGATATTTCTTTTGCAGCTGAAATACCAGTTTGGGAAATGTATAAGGTGAATTAGTTACGATTTATATTGCAGCTCACAAGGTATATCTCAAATGTTAAATGCTTTTCTGGATTGGAAGGTACTTCTTTGGTGTATTTTTATGCTGCGTACAAGTCACTTGTCTTAGACTGAGGTCTGTACACATAATCACTTGGTGATAGCTTTGTGTGACACAGGCAACTGAGGTCTTCAGGGTGTTTTTTGCACTTGAATGAATTAAGTTGCAACAAATGAACCATTTTTGGGTAGCAGTTGAAATTAAGGTGGCTCCTAAGTACTTCTGTTTGAAATTTAAAGACAATAGGCATGCTGTTGTAAAGCATTTGATATTACATAATGTTTTGCTCATTATTCATTAAGCAAGTATAGTAGCTTGACAAGCAGCTGAATTTGAGAGCAGTTGTAATGTTCATATGTAGTTTCTCAGCCCACACATTGGGCTGTCATGTGAGGAAGATTGGTGTGGACAGAAAATAAGCCCATAACAGGTTTTAAGACTTTCCTGAGGCCAATTAGTTTTTCAAATTAACACTTTAAAATTTGGAGGCAGGGGATGATGAAAGCAACTCGTATGTTGACCATATCTAGGCTATTTCTGAAATTCTATTTGAGTGGTTTTAACTATAAAGAATTCAGTGGGTTGTACCCATATTGTCTAGTTCAAGAAGCCTAAAGCTCTTTGTGCTTCAAGTTTATAACCGTATTTTAATATATATGCCTCAGTTTTGTTCTTTATTTAAATTGCATGCAATTGTGTTCTGTTGCAGAATATTTTCTCAAAATAGAAATGAGCCACACCCACTAGTTCTGGGGTAGCTTCATCTCAAAAGCAAGTGTGAAGTGTTTTCAGTAAGCTCTTACATTTCAAAATGACTGAAGAGGTTTTGTTGCTTTTTTTATCAGTGCTCCAGGCTGTGTACAGGGTCAATCATAAGCTATTTTTTTAATTGAAAGTAACTTGATGCTTGATTAAAAATTGAAAGCTTTCGTGACAGGAGTTTTTAGGACCTACAAAAAAGATGGGCAACCAGAAGCAACTATCTGCATTGGTCCATTGGACGTCAGTGAATTTTCCTATTTGCGTTATTTTAGTTTCCCTATATGGTCATTTGCACAAGTGTTCTTGAATTAATTTAGACATTTTTAGGCTCTGTAAAGAAAACTGAAAATCATCAACTGCAGTATATGGATCATAGATTGATAGCTATTAGTATATCTGATGTGGAATGCTTAACTTCATTTTGACAGGTACATGTTCCTTTCAGGATTTAAATTCTAGTTTTACAGATTATGTCTTGAATCCAAAATGTTATAGAAATTTCTGTATTTTAGTTTCAGTGCAACTTCCAGTAAGCTGCATGATACTGTAAAAAATGATTTGCAGACTGTTTTAATCTCCAGGAAATATTAATGTAGGCTTAGTACAGCAAAAATACCTTTCTTTCACAGAAGTTTTAAAATTGCTTCTGAGGAAAAGACATGCATTCAATTTTGAGTATATGTACAAAATCTTTCTGGTTAACCATGTAAAACTCAGGTCAAGTTTGCATGCATTAAAAACATTATTAAAAAACCCATACACTCCATACTGTGCACTTCATTTTTAGAGGTATTACAACTGTTTGCTGAATGCAAACCAGAGGCTGATGGTCCGGCATCATGGTTAGTGATACAGAAGTGAGTGGGGAAGTAAAACAGTCAGGAGAAGAGCTAGGAAGTCCCTTGCCTACTCTCTACTGTAAAATTAACCTTTTCCAGAAGAAACCATTGTGGGAGGGATCTGCAGACTTCAGTGTAATCAATATTAAGTGCTAGTCTGGCTGACATCCATCTTGGGAAAGGAATAGTCTTTAAATTGTTATAATGTTACATTATGTAGAAGTATTTGTAGGCTTCTTAGGAGGACGATCTCCCCCCCTGCTCTTTGCTGTTTAGAGATTAAAAATTGCATGATAACCTATGGAGATATGTTAATAATGCTTGAAAGTTATCAGCCTCCCAGAGATAATCTTTCATCTATGATATTATCATATTATTTCCCAGGAGAAAGAGACTTATTTGCTTCAAATCACAGAATCACAGAATCACAGAACGTTAGGGATTGGAAGGGACCTCAAAAGATCATCTAGTCCAATCCCCCTGCCGGAGCAGGAACACCTAGATGAGGTTACACAGGAAGGCGTCCAGGCGGGTTTTGAATGTCTCCAGAGAAGGGGACTCCACAACCTCTCTGGGCAGCCTGTTCCAGTGCTCTGTCACCCTCACTGAGAAGAAGTTTCTTCTCAAATTGAAGTGGAACCTCCTGTGTTCCAGCTTGTGTCCATTACCCCTTGTCTTATCATTGTTTGTCACCGAGAAGAGCCTGACTCCATCCTCGTGACACTCACCCTTTAAATATTTATAAACATGAATGAGGTCTCCCCTCAGTCTCCTCTTCTGCAAACTAAAGAGATCCAGCTCCCTCGGCTGCTCCTCATAAGGGAGATGCTCCACTCCCTTAATCATCTTTGTAGCCGTACGCTGGACTCTCTCCAGCAGTTCCCTGTCCTTCTTGAACTGAGGGGCCCAGAACTGGACACAATATTCCAGATGTGGTCTCACCAGGGCAGAGGAGAGGGGGAGGAGAACCTCTCTCGACCTACTAACCACCCCCCTCCTGATACACCCCAGGATGCTATTTGCCTCCTGCAAATCCTCCAGCTTTGAAGCAAGCTGCAATGTAGAAAAGAATTTGGATCTTACTGGCTAGAAAAAATGCTGTCTGGGTTACTTTTAGTTTGGTGTTGCAGGTTTTTATAAATTCTCCAAGGTTTAAAAATTATTAGAGATCTGGGCACTTAGACTGTCCAGGCAGTAGGGATTTCTTTAGAAATCTTTACTATAGGGTGTTAGCTTAATTTAATCTTGCAATACAAGTGTTTTCTAAACCCGTAACTCCTACTAATCTAGATGAAAAGTTCTGAGCAAGGGAAAAATTGTAGGATGTCTTGACTTTTTTGGGGTTTAGTGACAGATCCTGAGTTTCATGTTCTCCCTATTCTTCACTTGCTGAAATGACACGATCTGGTTGACAGCTGTCACTTGATGGTGTCTCTTCAGCTGAAACCTGCATTACTATGTTGTGCAACATGCAAGAAAAATGTTATTGTATATTTTGAGTAAACTTCAGGTATGTATGAGAATACCAGATAGGAGTGCTATACTGCTTCTTTCTAGGAACTGCCAATCATGTGGGTGTGTAATGGCTTTGTGTTGGCTAGAAACACTGAAAAATAATCTTCTACAGTGTTAGGGGAAAGGCAGAAAAGTAATTTAGTACCCCAAAACTTTGTAAAACAATTACTATGGCGAGGGGCACATTGAAATTAAAGAAAGCAGCAGATCTGGTTAAATATGCTTTACCCAAAGGTTCTGGCTGAATTGTCTAAATGAAAAGATTCCAGATTTCTTGTCTGGGATACAGTCTTGGGTCTTGAGTGGCAGAGTTTTCACAGCATCATAAGCACTTTCATAGTTTGCCAGTTCCTCCTGGGATTACTTGTTGACCAGTAGAATAGCTCCTACCTCTCCAGTCTGTGGGCATACACAAGCATGAAATCAGTTGATCAGCAGTCAACAGAAAGCAGATGTACAGACAGTATAAGCTGCCTCTTCTTTTCTCATACTTTGGCAATTTCAAATAAAAAAAAATGGTGCTTTTCTGGTTATGTACATTGTCGCAAGTTCATAAAGGAGATCTGTTTCATTGTTACTTGTGGAGGTAGCAGGGAGAGGTACACTGTCATGCTGCTGCGGAAGGGTTGTGAGTAGTGCTCAAAGGGAGGGAAACCTAAAGGTACACTGGAGGTGAGAGGAGTACAGGGCAATGTCAGGAATGGGGAACAGTTCTCAGTCAGTAAGAGTTTGAGGGAGCAAATTTATTCAAGTTCCCTGGAGATTTTTAGTTGTTTTGTAACAACTTTTCTCCACCTTTGTTTGGCTCATTCTTGTTCCCAAGGGCTTGGTAGTAGGTCATCCTGAAAGCTGGCTATGCTCAAAATACTTTTGGAAGAGATCTTTGCACATGTAATGAACCAGATGAGTACAACCATTGTGTGTGTTTTTCTTTTTTTAGCAACAAGGTATTGTCCGGCCAAGTGTATACCATGCGGTGGTGGTCATTTTTCTAGAATTCTTTGCCTGGGGGCTTTTGACAACTCCAATGCTAACGGTAAGTATCACTGATCTACTGTCATCTTCGTTGTGTTGATAGAAGTTAATTTGCTAATTCCAAGGGATCGGTATTGTAATTTATTTTACACTTCCTGCTTACATCATTAACTGAATTCCAGTTGTCTTAACACTCAACAGTGTGTAACAGTAGTATACTACAGCTGAGATCTGGACTGCTGGAAGACTCAAAGTGAAAAATGAATCAGCAAAACACTACTACTCTTTAACTTTTATTTACCTTTTAGAGTAACATCAGTTTAGTGTACTGATGGAATTATCTCTGGAAATTCTGTGTTTTTTAAAGACTTTTTAATTCAATCCCTCTTCCAGTCATAACAACTGGATAAACTGTGTAACCCATAGTAAACTTTGTATGCTATTGTGGGCTCGCTGTTTTGCCAGCATGCAACTTGAGGCAAAATGTAAAGGCTTTCATGTAAGAAATTGATTTTATAAGTATTTAATCTATTCTGGAATGCAGTTATTTTCCAGATGAATAGATAATTTCAGTGTTTGGTAATAAGATATGAAGTCTTTCATTTGAAGACATGAGTCTTATTTATTGCAATCAGGCCTGCTTGAGAGTAGTCATCAAGTCTGTTCATCTTTTTTTTTCTTCTTTCCTTTTTTTCTTAATCAATATGCTCAACTTCAGGTTTCCCAAGCTTGACACTTCTCATTTAAAGGGATAATGTACAAATAGTAATTCTTAAGCAGTCTTCAAAAAAATCCCCACTTTAATAAAAGTGTATGTTAGGTGGGTTCTTCAGTAGTTCCTCAATAGTGTACTCCATCTGAAATAGTTCCATATGAATTTTTAGTGTTAGTCATATGCTGCTGAAATGTTAATTCTTGAAATTAGTGTTTATCATTGCACTGTGTTTAATAGGAGTGTTATGAAATGCCTCTAATGTAAAGCTGAATTCTTATTTTGACTTGAAGTGTGTGGATTCAATACAGTTGTGATCTTGAATGTCTTGTATTTTGATTGTTGTGTTCCTCTCTTACGTGGTTTTGAATACTTAGGAGGCTGTTACATTGGACTGAAAATTTTAAACACTGAGTTACTTACAATGGTGTAATTTACCCAGATGTAGATGACTTCTGTGGTCTTGGGGGTGATGATCTTTATTTGTAATGGGGTTTGTACTCGCTGAAGGGCTGCTGTTTGCTTCAAGTAATTTCAAATCTGGTTTGATACTTTGCACCCTTCTGTCTTGTAATGTACTTGTGATAACTCACCTTGGCCTGCTGGTCAACTAGCAGTACGAGAAGTCATTTAGAGTCTTCTTATGAGGGACATTCAGCATTTGAACTGCCAGCTGCCCACTTTTTGCACAAGCAGGTTTGTCTGGTAGGAAGGGCAGGAATGGAAATATCTGGCCTGTTGATCAAATCTGTTTTGCAATTGTGTCATGATTCTCCAGGTCATTGTCAGCATTCAGTTGGATTAAAATGCGAAGTATTATCAAAATAAATTGTATGTATTCTGTGATAACTGAGATTATTTAAAGTTCATTTTTTAGATTACTTTTTCACTTCTTTTGACATCTATGAGCAAAGCTGTAGTGTTTGTTACATGACAATTGGAGAAGAAAAGATTTAAGGAGTTTATAAAGCACAGAAAAGCTATTTTTCTCACAGACTGCCCAAAAGCTTATGCTCATTTGTCTAATTTATGGACTTGTAAGCCAATATTAGTAAATCACTGTAAGCAGTATTAATCACTTAATGGCATATTCTATCTTCAATAGTATTTTTTTTTGAATATGCAAATATTTATATCAGTGGAACTTGAGTAAGGCAGTTCTCTCTACCAGTTTGTCAAATTGCATTTCTCTTGTCTGTAAAGTAACAGAAATTAATCTCAAAAGCTTGAACCAATATCAGCAGTGGTTGTCTCCCAGGAAAAAATACTGGAAAACATTTTACAGAAAGATAATTAGATTTGACTCTGTGATCTGCCAGCTTGCATTTTGCTTGACCTGGGAGACACCTGCTTTCTAAATCTAATTTAAACCCTGACTTTTTCGGTTTTTTTCTCCATTCATATGACAAGATCACTGGTCAGAGGGGTGGAAAACTGATTTAAATATCTAAAAATAAAACAGTAGGGGCAAAGGACTGTAAATAAGCAGAATTATTTGACCAGCAGTTAACATGGGAACAACCACCCTTATTAAACCTGTGATTTGAGAATCTCAGTCATCCTTGAAAAATGATGCTGATATTTTTCAGTGAGTAATCTGTTTCGTTAGGCTAGTGGCTTTCTTAGTATGCATAATTTTTGTAGTTGTTGGCACTTATCTATAGATTAAAACAGCAAATGGATTTGAAGTGTGCATACATACACACTTTGATCATTGCAATAACTTTTTTAATCGACACAGTAGCACCTGTGAGGCCTTTTAACTGTCTTGCATATTTATGGTAAATCTGTTTAGTATAGATTAACATGCTTGCCCTTGAATTAAGGCTGCTGGTAAAGCATCTTGAATAAATTCTTAAAGGATTCATGAAACACTCAGAACTGTTGCTAGTATTTATAAGTGTCTAGTCGTTCACTGAAAGTGTTTCTAACTGTCTACTGAATATCTGGAATTTGTTCAGAAGCAGTTTGCACAGTGCCTTATTGGGCAGTTGTGACTAAAGCACTATTTTTTTGTTGACAGGGTAGGTTAACTGAATCTCATTGTCCTTCCTGATTAGTAACAATGATTTAGTCAGCCTTTTGAAGGAATTACGTATCTCAAAAATTCTGTGATTTGTACCACGTGGAGATGCTTTTTGCTTAGGTTAATCCCCTTTCTGTGCAGAGTACCCCAGATGAGCCTGTCTCTGCAGTACACTGTAGTCTGTGCCAGCAGAGGAATTTATCCCCATAAATTGACATTAAACAATAATGTTTAATAATTGACATGTCAATATTTTCTTGTGAAGTCAAATAAGAGTGTAATTCTGGGATAAGATACTTTTTTAACAAGTCTAAATAGAGCTACACTGTTTTACAAATCAAATTTAAACTTCAAATCAAAATTCTCCTGGCTCCTGATTCAAACAATGCTTTTTTTCCCCCATCAGGTCTTACATGAAACATTTTCCCATCATACATTTTTAATGAACGGTCTTATTCAAGGTGTTAAGGTAAGATTTTAAAAAACTACTGACCTAAATATTCTGTGTGTTCCTGTATAGTGATTTGTCTCCTGAATTCTCCATAAGAACATCCAAAACACGGAGAATGTAATTCTTATACCATTCTTTCCTTGTAATGCTTGTGTTCTTGGCCTCAGTTCAAATTTTACTGCTAAATGATGGCATCGTGAAACAAGTGGAGTATTTCTCTTATTTGAATAGGTGCCAGTTGTAGCTATTTTAATCTTGCTAAGGATCCTTCTGAGAATGGAGTTAGAGTTTTTAATGTCTGCTTTCTAATGTTAGATGATTTATCTCCAAAGCAGATTATGCAGCTGTGATGGTACCATTGAGACGAAAGATGAAACTCTTAAACACTGATGGTCAGGATATTCAGGGCAACAGCTTATAGCTTACTTATTCCACTGCATTCACACAGTGATCATGCTGGATTGTTGCCACAAAAAAAAAAGTGCAATTTCTCTAGCAGAACTAAAACTTGAAAGTCTCTCCTTCGCTAACTGTCTTATTGAAAGGCTTCAAAGCACTTAATGTAACTTATGCCTAAGTTAATTTACAGCACCTAGAATTTACTTAGCCTGGTATTCTGTGACAAATCTAACCCATTGTTTTTAGCTGTAAGAACATGACATCTTTAGGAGAGACTTGCAGTCTTGATGGATTGGCAGAACACCATGCACGAGAGGTTTTGGGATGTCTCAAACTGAAAGAGGAAGTGAACTTCACATTGTTCTCTTAGGGAGAGGGAAAAAAAAGTTTTCTGTTCCTTTTGGTGTTTTCTTTCACCTCTGTTCATTCACAGTGCAGTGCAACTATGAGCATCACTTAAAAGTAGAGAATTGAGGATTTCCCGTGTATTTTCTACAGAATGTATCTGTAGAAAAGTGCTTAAATATCATGATCTAAATGTATATATTGCTCTAACAGGTGTAATAAACAGGGGAGCATAGACCATGGTGAGCTTGGACTTCAGTGTCCAATATTTTCTTTAAAATGCTGTTTATGAAACATCCAAAGTATTTTGGGTGGCAGTTAGCAAAACACGTTAGTTCATATTCTACTGAAATTTTACTCTAAGAAACAAAAACATTAATTTCAGCTAAGTAAGACATCTGACTTTCCTAACAGCCAGTGGTCTGGCTATATAGCTTTTGCTTTCAGTTTACGTACTAAATCATTGGAATTGGAGTTGCTCATGGGATTTGGCAGAGTAGTGATTTAGTACAGTAGTCTGTACACATGTTAAACTTTAAGGTGACTATATTTGAATACCAGAGGTTAGCTAAAGTTAGCTGGAGTAGACTTAGAGTGTATTGAGGTGCTTACAGGACTATGTATTTGCTAATGTTTGGGTTTATGGTAGAGTTGGATTGATGAGGAAACAATATGTTAATTAGAAGGAAAGTGCATCTGTTCTGGAGGTTTTGCAGTTAACAAACCTGTGAAAGGCTTGCTTATTTTAATCCTTCTGTGTAATACACAACAGATTTGAGGCCTAGATCCTAGAACTTTATGAAATGCTGAAAAATCTAGTATTAGATCCACAGTAATTTTTTATAATGACAGCTGTACATGTATGTCTGACTTTTGCCTCTGGGATATCATTATGGTGTCCCACTATCTCAAGCTGTCAAGCTTGCTCAAATGATCCTCATAGTTTTTGCAATGTACAAATGTCATGTACATGATAAGTATATAGTATAAAGGATTATTCCTTCTGTTGTTCTGTTTAATTTGTTTCAGAGAACAGTTAGGTTACCCAAAACTCTCCCTTAGGACAGTCCAAATTAGAGGGTAATTTGGGTTTGGGATCTTGCACTGTCTTGTGAGTCAAGAGACTAAGAAGATGTCCTTAGTGAAACTAGACTGTGGATTCTGGAGATTTTTAGAAGCTTCTACGGTCTGTGGAACTTCTATACTGAATCTTCTTTAAATGCACTCAAGGTTAATAGTTTTGAAACATAAAACACCAGAATCACAGAACAGTAGACTCTGGAGGAAATTGTGTACAATTTCAGTAATTTACAATTTTATGTTTAATTTCAAATCAAATTACAATTTTAGCACTTTTTATATTGTGGTTAAAGTGAAACTTAAAAATGTAAATATAGACATATTGTTTTTCTTCTCCCACAGGGTTTTTTGTCCTTTTTCAGTGCTCCACTAATAGGTGCTCTATCAGATGCATGGGGAAGAAAATCTTTTCTTCTTCTTACAGTTTTCTTCACCTGTGTTCCAATTCCATTGATGAGAATAAGTCCATGGTAAGTGGTACAGACTGCAGTAGTGAGCTTGTCAGTACAGAAGAAATCCAATCAGAGGAGTAGTTTGGGGAAGTGAGAGAGGGACAGCAAAACAAGAGGAAAGCCACTCTGCTTTTGTGGCATTATTCTGGAGCTTTTTGGTTTACGTTGTTAAAACTGTGTATCTTAAATATAGAAATTATAGAATGTGATTTAGCTACTATATTCACACAAGTATAACAGTAATTGAAATGGTTTGATAGCCATGTTTTACTCTGTTTTAAGTTCAGCTGTTATTCCCCCCGCCCACTGAGAACTGTCAATGCTGTAATAAATGTATTTTTAAAACTAAATACGCCTTAGAATTTATTAACCACAGAACAGTATAATTGCTGCAAATGAGATCTTTAAACTCTTTGATTAGGCAACTTTAAAGTCTTAACTAAGTGGAATTGACTTGGTTTCAGTTTCATTTACATTCATTGTGAAACTTAGGAGGATTAGAAAAGAGCTTTGTGTACTGAGTGTATTCAATGTTCAGCTTCCAAAGCATTATATATGATACTTTATTCCTTAACTGGTTGAAAAAATGACTTAATTTCTTTTTCCTAACTTTGACTTGCTTCAGCTTTGAGATTGTGAAAATATATAGGTACCATGTCCTGAAGGTGCCACTTCATCTTGCAGGCTAATGTAAAGTAAATAGTAGAATATAAAAAATTAAAATGCTCTTTTCCAGCATTTAAGTAAGACTGCACAATTGTGCATCTCCAGTAAAGTTCTATGTTAGTTCTCAAGGAACACTTCTCATAGCTTAAATACAAGCTCGCTTGATTAGTAAGAGAAAAAGCAAGAGGTTTTAGATTAAACTTTCTAATTGTTGCTTTTAAATCATTAGGTGGTACTTCGCTATGATTTCGGTATCTGGAATCTTTTCTGTTACCTTTTCTGTAATATTTGCCTATGTAGCTGATGTAACACAAGAACATGAAAGAATTACAGCCTATGGACTGGTAAGATACGCTAAACATGAAAGAAAAGGTCAGATTATGACCTTTGTATTGAACTTGTGTTTTGATGCACAGATTGTTTCCAGATTAATGTAATGAGGTTGATAGAGAAAGGAATGAACCACCAAGTGCATCGAGGCACTGCGTTAGCATTTGGGAAATCTCGTTTAGATTTTGTTACTGCTGCAGAGAGTGCTCTGTGCTCATCTGAACAGAGTAAGAATTTGGCAGCTTTACCTACATAAGCAGCATGTGTAAGAAAACATATTTTAAGTTTTGCAGACAGAACAAGAAATGTTGTTAAAGGCAATACAAGTTATTTAATACTTGATCTAGCAATATCTTTCCAACGCCTGTGAATTCCTGTTGTAGTTTATGTGATTTCTTTTTAATATGGAATGACTTTTTCTGTAGTCAAAACAGGCAGGAAGAGCAAAAATGTGTAATGCCGTATTTTTGATAACTTAGTCATGACCTTTCTTAATCAGCAAGAGAAGAGCAAAATAGTTCAGTTAGTACAAACTAGCCTTCCAATGATAATATAATTCCTGCTTAGTTTGCTTTCCTAGTATCTGTATTGGTTTAGGTTTTGGAGGCTTATCGGTATATGGCTTTAGCCTTTGAACTTCATTTATCACTTCATCCTCTGTGCATCTGTTTCCAATATAGAGATATTAATAGAGATTTTCAGTTGATTTTTGGCTGACTGTACTGTACCTTTAACTGTTCCCCTTTATTTTTAGCCTTATGGACATGTGATTACTCAGATGTTGATTTAATATTTAAGGAAATAAAGAACTTAGTTCTCTTGAACCAAACTTGTATGTATTGCAGCAGAGCACAAAACAGGTTTAAAAGTTCTCGAATTTCCACTTTACTTATCTTGCATAGAAAGAAGACCATAAGTATATTTGGAGCATGTATTTGCCTGCATTCAAACGTGTTTTTGTTAACAGAAACGACTTGATATAAGATTGTATAGAGTGCTGGACAGAAGTGTAGTTGTTTTGATGAGGTCTGTATCTCTTTCTGTTCAGTTTGTTACATGTTTGTTTTCCTTAGGATTTTTTTTTTCTAGCTTGGTATAAAGCTAAATTTCTAGCTTGAGTTTTTACTTAAAAAACCCAAATAAACGAACTAGCTTTATTCTAACATTTTCTGATTATTTTTATAGTGAGATATAGCTACAGCACTTGATTTTTCATCATGTCTCACTGTAAGTGAATATTGTTAGTGATCTTTTACATGTCACTACTACATAGTATGAAGCAATAGGGTTGTTGAAGTTATGATAGCTAATGATATCCTAGTTTGCTGTGCGTGCTATACAGTGACAGCTATATATTTAAAATGCAAGCTGTTAACAACGGCATTATGTATTTATGTAACGCCCCCAATGTTGAGACTTAGCTTCACTTAGGCAGGCATTTAAATGTTCTGACTGTTTCAGACTGTTTCAGTGAAATCTTACCAGAATTCATAATTGGAAAACAAAAATCCATTTTCATCCATTTGAAAGTAAGAGTTGTTTTCCTTTGAGCCAGACTTGCTCTTTCACTTCAAATCCTGTCTCGTAGAGTGCACTATGGAAGAGGTTGGAGAAACTTTATTTGGACTCATATTTACTGTTCTAAGTGTATTGTTTTTTTTACTTAAATTTCGACTGGTGTTTTTTAAAAACTGCTTGGGTGGGGTGGGGTGGTGGTGTCGAGCAAGTTACTTAATTTTTCTGCCATGGCAGAATAACCACTTATACAACTTTGTAAACTGTTCTTGTGCATAGGTATCTGCCACCTTTGCAGCAAGTTTGGTAACTAGTCCTGCCATTGGAGCATACCTGTCTGCCAGCTATGGAGATAACCTTGTCATAATAGTGGCCACATTGGTGGCTGTTGTGGACATCTGCTTCATCCTGCTAGCTGTACCAGAATCTCTGCCAGAAAAAATGAGACCTACTTCATGGGGAGCTTCCATATCATGGGAACATGCAGACCCTTTTGCAGTAAGATGTGCTTCAATAAGTAATTAATAATAATAAAAAAATGCATTTTGTAAGCTTGAAAAAACTTCAGTCTTACTGGTAGCTTGACTATTCGGTATACCATAATCTCTATTCTCTGCCTTGCACAAAAAGATCTAGCTACGTTTAACAGCCATACCAAACTTAATGGATTAAATGGTTCTTGAATTGGAAACAACATTTGGTGTGAAATCCAAAGGGAAAATGCTCTATTTTTCTAATTTAGTCTACTTTATGTCAGAGAAATGCTGATTTCTTACACGGCTACAGACACCAGAACCTGATATTGTCAGACTTTTCCATGTTCATTTTATGCTTTGTAGTTTTGTTTGGCAATATCTCTCCTCACTCTTGAATTCCACATTGGTTATATGTGATTTTATTTTAATATAGAGTGGATTATAAAACGTGATTTTTCTACAGACGTGTATAGGAGGGGTTAAAATGTGTCATGTGGTCTGTCCACTTACTCAGCTAATCTGTATTTGTGTTACACCTTGCTATATTAAGAAGGGAA